TAGGTTTCTGTACGTGGATTTCGGAAAAGTGAAAACCAATGAAATTACACGTTTAACAACTGGAAACAAAAATAAGCCAAGTGTATAAAACGGCCTCTAACGGCCTGTGCAGAAAACATCATCTGCGATCGTAGATGCATCTATGTAAATTCAAACGTGATCTAAACGTCTCATGTTTTCTTTCCAATTCTTTAAAAGCTTTTTCAGATCTGGTAAGGCTTTATGCTTCCCATGATACCTTGAGACACTTTAACATGTTTTTCACTAAACTTTATGCATCAGATGCTTCAAGTCCAACAGTTAAAGATTACAAACGGAAGAACATTAAAGGGAAACTCCACCGACTCTGCAAAATTACTTAATCATTCAATGGTCTACATGTAAACAAAATCAGAGTGGTTTGGTGTGAAATGCGCCTTAATAGAGAATTTTTTAGAGAAATTAAAGTTTTGGCCAAAAACTTATTTTTAGTAAAAATAAAGTTTTGGCCAAAAACTTATTTTTAGTAAAAATAAAATATTACTCCAGGACGTGTTTCCTGTCAAAACCATGTTCTCAACTGAGATCAATGCATGCCAGCTAACATGCTTTTGTAGATACTAACATGTAGCTACAGCCGTTCAACATGGCTAACGCCTCCTCAAATTCACGTTCCTTTTGACTAATCAGGTCCTCGGGCGGCGCATTCACTGACCAGATAACACTGCCAAGCAACACTGGAACTACAGAAAGCGAAAAGGTTCAAAAAAAGGTTTGTACGGCAGCTGTATTCACCCAATCGGCGTCGAACGGTGTCCTGTCTGTTTACTGTGCCTAATGTCTGTTTTTTCGTATTTATTGTATTGTTTCTAGTTTAATGTTTGCACACTTATGCCTGCATGTTTGCACTTTGTTGCACCATGTTGGTCCTGGAGGAACTTCGCTCCACTGTTTTGAACTTTTTCGCTTTCTGTAGCTCTAGTGTTGCTTGGCATTGATTCCTGTTCAGTGAATGAGAGAGAGAGAGAGAGAGAGAGAGAGAGAGAGAGAGAGAGAGAGAGAGAGAGAGAGAGAGACTGAACCCGCCGGTGCCGAAGCAGAAGAACCCAGAGCGAATGGAAATTGATGGTGTTAACAACAAACTACTTGCTACTCTGCTCACCAGTTTATGGGGCAAGACAGGGAGGTGAACTATCAGCTATCACAGCTCCTCAGATGAATAACGTTACTCACATAAGCTCTGACTTTTGCTGACACCATGTGACGCAACGCCGCTGACCCATCAGCACAAAAGGCGCGCAGGGTGTGGGCATACATGCAGGACGCTGTAAGGAAAAATAGTACCCAAAAACTTATTTTTTTCTAATTTAGCACTATTTAACCATCATCAGCGTGACACAGAAAACCTTATAAGACACATGTATGTTCACTGGTCATTTTGGATGGCAGATAAAATGGTGATATCTGTAGTGTAGACGTCTGGTTTCTAGTACTACGATGGTGAACAATTTTGACTTAAACACTTGAATGATTAAGCAATTTTGATTTGAGTTCCCCTTTAAATCTCATCACAGTGATTCTGACAACTGACCTCATTGGTACGGAGGCTTCCGTCACTTAGCAACTGTGGAAAACATCTAGGTTTGGTGGAAAAGTAGGAGACGGGCTTAAAAACAACTCGGGCTTCTTTAGATATCCAACAAAGAAATGAATCATACAGTACAGCAGAAAGGAGGAACGAATGGGCTGTTACTCGAGACTGATGAGCCTGTGTTAATGGAGTCTGGCTGCTTCTTCTCTGAAGTCACTCAATCAACCTCACCCCTGACACACAATATGGCCGTAACCATGGAAACAGTCTCACTGGAGACGGCTGCTCGGCACCCCAACACGACAACCAGGCACATGAGGTCATCCCAGGCATGACACTACCACTTACAGCACATGAGAGACAGAGTTGAAGTATCCTCGCCCTGCCTCAAACACACCCTGACCGAACCCATTAGATCATCAAGCTCAGGGAAAATCACCTCCTGAAAGGGAAAACCTCACAATCCACACCCTCACAGACCCGTCTGTGCTTTGGCCGAGGCAGACAGGACAGGACAAGATGACACAGACATCCTGAAAGGTGTCATTAAAGCTATTAAAGTCATCTATACGAGGGATGCACTCAAGCACTGGAATCACTGTGTGTTTCATTGTGGAGAAAATATACAGACTAAGGCTACGTTCACATTACCAGGTTGAAGTGGCACAAATCAGATTTTTTGCCCTAAGGTGACTCAGATCTGATGTTTTCAGGGCTGTGTGGACACAAATCTGATCTTTTCAAATCCAACCTGAGCCTCTTTTATATGTGGTCCTAGATCAGATACGTATCCGATTCATGGCCGTGTGAACTTAAACTACGTTCACATTACCAGGTTGAAGTGGCACAAATCAGATTTTTTGCCCTAAGGTGACTCAGATCTGATGTTTTCAGGGCTGTGTGGACACACAAATCTGATCTTTTCAAATCCGACCTGAGCCACTTTCATATGTGGTCCTAGATCGAATACGTATCCGATTCGTGGCCATGCGACCTTAATGTGACGCTCAGATCGGACTTCATGAGCTTTTTTTCCACTGCGCATGTGCCATCATTCAGCGTTACCATGGCAGCAGCGCCAAACAGACGTTAAAGTCTGTAAACAATGGAAAAGCAACACATCTCACCTTTTTCACCTTTGTCTCGCTCTAATAATGAAGCTGAGAGCTGATCAGAGTACAGCTCCACTGTACCATCCTAGTTAGCACCATTTCTCATTCAGCGAGTGAGTGCACTGTCGATCTACACACACAAAACACTTCTGTTCTAGTGTTCTTAAGTGACATAATACAATTAGGGGTGGGCAAAAATATAATATCACAATATTTTGAGAAATGTTCGCGATACACAATATTGACATCTAATCATTTGAAAGAGAAAAAAAAAAACTAGTAGTGCTACATAAAAAAGCCGTGAATAAAATTATTTTTATTCAATATTTGGTACTAAACCCAGTTAAATGGGACTAATTATTCTCTCTTTATAATGAAACACACAGGTGGTCAGCGTTCTACCAGCTTTGTGACCGGAAGGTCGCCGGTTCAAACCCCTGAGCCGACAGTACGTGACTGAACTGCCCTTGAACAACACACCCAACCCCCAACTGCTCCCCGGGCGCTGTGGATAGGGCTGCCCACCGCTCTGGGCAAGTGTGCTCACTGCCCCCTACTGTGTGCACTTACTAGTGTGGGTGTTTCACTGTATGGATGGGTTAAATGCGGAGGTCTAATTCCTCTGTGTGCAAACACAGTTGGTCAATAGTTGTAAATTCTAAATACACAATATGTTCAGAAAAGCAAACTATATTGTATAATGACATAATTTATCATTGTAAGGATATATAATGTCACATTGCCCGGCCCTAAATACAATCTTTAAACTCCTAGACATTATCAGGGGGCAGCAATGCCTACAAATGTGGCCAATTTCACACAGAAATACTGAAATATGTACTGAAACGGTATAATATGTAAATCACTACTATTCTACATCTTATGTTGTACTTAAATAACTTACACATTTATGCAAAATTCACAAGTAACTGTGGTCACATGAACAGCCAGATATGAGATAACACACACAGTAAATATCCAATAGTAAAGAGTAAAAAACAGCTTTTTTGTGGGTTCTCTGTGAGGATTTCCTTTCATTAACATAACGCGAGCGGTCTGTGGGGAGTGTTTGGGGTTGTAATTGGTCGCTGGTAATGTTTTCCCACAGGGATACGCACAGTTACAGCAGGATCAAGGCGCTATGAGCGGCGTCGCAGCCTCAGGACATGATCTCCAGCACACTGACCTCGCCTTGAAAAGCGTAAGAGAGTGACCTACAGGGACGACACGCTTTCCCAACTTTCAGACCACACAGACACTTTACAACTGACTGCAATTATCCGGTCCAGGAAAGAAACACTTGAGCGATTTTCCCCATGATGCAATGCTCTCTGTAGTACGCCCAAATGCACAAAATCACAGAGCACACTCATACGCGAAAGAAAACAAAAAACAACTGCCCGACCATTTGCTCTCATTATTCCTCTCCAGTATGTCTAACTGAGCTGTTGTGGTGGCAAATTCTCAGCGCTGTGGTGTTTCGGTTCCTGACCAGCTCACCGCCGGCATAAACGGGGGGGGGGGGTAGCATTGTGAACGTTTAAAACAATCACATTAAAAATAAACAGATGTATTTCTGCATGAGACCAACTTTAAGCTGGTTTACTGCATGAACTGAATCAAGAAACAGAAAATCAGCGCAAACGTTTTAACTATATAAAGTTGTATGTCAGAGTTTGGGCACCTCTGGTCAAATCACGGCTTTTCTAAATGACAGTAAGTTCACATCTCCGATGCAGAAAACACAGTTCTGCACATCTGATGTATGATTTATGTTTATTTACCTGGGAAGTAAAAAAAAAAAAAATGGCCTGTTCAAAAGTTACATCATATTTAACATTTAATGTTTTATTTTGTTCCCCAACTGTTAAACTCAAACACACCCTGAAAAAAATAGAAACGGTTAAATTATATAAAAATTGGCATAAAAAGGCAGATTTGTTCTCTGTAGAGGATTTACTGACTTATTTTTATTAAAATGGACTGTCTCCACCCTCACTGGTACAGCACGGTGTTCGGGAATTGAACCATCAATTTTTCATAGGAAATCCGCACCATTATTGACCACGCCTTCTTCAGTGTATTCGCAACCAGGCTAAACTGGTCGTCATTGTCAGATGTGATTCCAGAATCCAATAATAACAAAACAGGGTTTAAATAATATCTTCAAAAGAACTATTTAAAAAATAGAGCATGTGTGTGTGTGTGTGTGTGTGTGTGTGTTTGGGTGTGTGTGTGTGTGTGTGTGTGTTTGGTGTGTGTGTGTGTGTGTGTGTTTGGGTGTGTGTGTGTGTGTGTGTGTGTGTTTCAAAGCTTACCAGGACAGAATGCATGCCCATGTAGATTCGGCTCACACACACCAGTACACACCAGCTGAGAGCAAGAGCGACTCCAAGCAGGAACGGATACTGCAGAGAAAGAAAGAAACAAAAAACAGTTTGACTGACATCTTCTTTAGAGCTCATTATGCTGAACAGGTTCCGCCGATGCCACATTGACATGTGGGTACAATCATGCTGTACATACACACACTGGGCCGAGACGCAGTAGCCTGCCGAACAAGAATACAGCCTAGGGGTGGGCGATGTGGCCAAAAAATGATATCAAAATACACAATATGCATCATGATATATCTTTTTTCTGACATTTAATAAGTTGGAAAAGACAAATTAGAACATGTGGTGCCACATTTAAAATTGTATAGTAATAATAATAATAATAACAACAATAAACTAAAATTATAATGATTTTTATCCAATGTTTTACAAACTGCACTAAATTCAATTAAACTGGCCTAATTATGTTCACTTTATAATGAAACAAAGTTAGTCAGTGCTCTTTCAGTACTGATGATGCCCACAATATGCTCAGGAAAGCGTATTGTAGCAAAATTTATAACTATAACGATAAAAATATTGTCATATGGGCCACCACAACTACAGCACTGCAAATAACACCCACACTTGCAGTCTATAGATGTTTAACTGTTGATAAAGTTTATAAACTCTGAGTTATTTTTACAAAATCACTTTTTAATTTTATATGAATTATTTATTACTCAGCTATTTGAAACAATCCGTGCAAAATCTCTGCGAAAAGTCAAAGTTGTAAACTTTCAATCTAATTGAGTTCGTAACCAGAAGAGGATATATTTTATTATTATTTCACTTTGATGCAGTTAGTGTTGCGGGTTCTACAGAAAAAAAAACATCCTGTACATTTTTGCATGGTTGTCATTTTTTGACCCTGAAGCGAAGAGAAAAAGGTCAACCCAAACCCGTTGATACAGAAGGCAAACTGAATGCGTCATTCCTTATGTAACTAAATCTGTAATTATTACAGCAGTTACACTGTTAGTCATATAATAATGACAGTAATAACTCTAGACTTCTAAAGGCAGAGTAAGCACTCTAATCAGAAGAGGAGGTTTTGGAGGAACTACACAGATATAAAGATGTGTAGACATGCACACCCTAATTAATCATGATGTTCTCAGACTCTCTGAGCTGCTTCTGACACTACATGTACCTCTAGGCTAGTTCAAGCTAATGACTACATCCTGAGATAAAAGCTCAGTCACACTAGTGAAGTTTCACAAGCAAAATTGCATTAATTCCCATGGAAAACGCTGCATAGAGCTTTTTTGTGTCGCAGACTTCGGCCCAATCCCATTTCACCCCTCACCCCTACCACTAAGCCCTTAGCCCTCTGTTTTGCGCGTTCACGTCTAGGGGCAGGGTGTCCCAATTCTTGTTGAGATAGAGGGGTAGGGCGAAGTGTTGGGGCTACATGGCCCTCCAAACGGAGGTTTTTCAGAGACACTCCAAACAGTGTTATGAGGAAAAAAAAGAAAAATCGGCAAGATGACTGAACAAGAGATCAAAGAAACCCACAAATGTGAGAATTTTCTCCATTAAAAAATTACGATAACCACTGTATTATCTTAGTTTAATTTCGTTTCAATGTATTATGGTCATTTTCTTCATAACAAGCATAAAAAGACCCCACTAGTAGTATGTTGATGTCTCGGTAGCTGGCTAAACTTCCCATTCCACCTTAAATAGTCCGGCAGTTCTGACGCCTGAAGCACCAGAATGTAACTGCTGAAAATTCGAACAAGAAGCTGGTGAATATCTGACTTCAGCTTCGTATCACCAAAGAATTAGAGGGGGTGATAATAAATAATTGCCCCCCTCTTTGAAGGCATATGATGCTTTAAATGTAACTAAAGCCCAGCAGTGAGGAGCTGAACTTTACCCTCCTCTGCTGTCACTGCAGACTGGCAGGGTCGCCTACAGAGCGGCGCCCGAGGCTTTCCACCTTAAATGGAGCAGCAGTTACGTTCTGGTGCCTCGGGCACCATTTAAGGTGGAGCAGGAAAATTCGAACAAGAAGCTGGCGAATGAGAAGCGACTTCAGCCTCGTAAAAAATCGAATATTTTACAAGAAACTATTCTACTTTTGCCAAAAAGTTTCCTGCCAGAGATGTGAGAAAAGCAGCTATAGCTGAGCTAAAGCTTAAAGCAGAGCAAAGTAAGTCTGCATTTTTATTTATATCACATTTTTTGTCTATACTAGTAACTGCAGTAGCACATACTGAGACATATTTACAGCCAAAATGGAAAAACAGACATAAAATGTTGTGGCTCCCAAGGTGGTTTGATTTTTGTTAAGAGGACAAATGGCTCTTTTTAACATTTGGGTCGCGACCCCTGGTCTAGACCATGGTGTTTTATCGTCCATTTCACTTATATTGCCAGATAAAGCACTCTGAGATTTTGGAACTAAAATGAAAGTACTATATGAGTTAGGGATGAACCAGGATGTCACGGAAGTATAACTGAATAGTAAATTATTAGTAAACTGAATAGAAAATTAGGATTTTCAAAGGAACCTAATTTAGATGCTGTGTTTACCAAATGAAATACACAGTAGGCTCAATGCATATTTGCTCATTCAAACTGCTGTGCCTAAACCAATAAGATCTTATGATGCCAAATTACCACATGACTGCTGATCAGAAATGACTGCTAGATTGTATTTACTGCATCAGTTATAACTGCAGTTGTGGACAAGCAAAAGAAAACCACTGGTAACTGAATGTATTCAACCTACTGAACAGATATGGACCTGTTCTCTAATTCCCTACAGCCTATTGTAATTCTACTCTCTTCCTTACAAAAGAGTTCACCCTCAGAACAAAAAGCAATCTATACCGGAGGTGGCTGCACAAATCTGTTATGTTGCAATCGCAGAGGGGGGTTGGAGGTTTCTACTTTGTCTTAGCTCAGCAGAGAGAAGCAACGCATTTCCCAAGACCACAGCGACTGACTTCATTCCGTCTCAGCAAAGTCTGTCTGTGCTGAATATCTGCTGAACAAGTGCAGAGAAAACTCAGAAACACAGAAAACTAATTCTCACTGCAAGTGCAGGTAAAGACCACTCATTCAGGCCACATCCCTCTCTGTGAATACAGAAGACCAGTCAAGCTGTTTTGATTAAAAAGATAAACCCTCCCGTCTCTCTACAATACTCACACCTTGCTGTCCCCATGTAACAGGGATGTGCCTGGGTATTCAAGTAGTTAGGTAACTGTTCCAGGTGAAGTAACCACTCAATACTCAATAATCAGTATAAGGAATAAAAGGAAGAAAACATACAGGTCAAAAATTCAGTGAAACTGTGCTGAAACCCAAACTGGCTATTGTTAATTCAAAATATGCAAAAACTTCAAAAGTAAAATACAGATACTTGTGGTAGACGTCGAAATATTACACAGACATTTGAAATATCCAAAATATGAATGTCCCCAGCAGCTCCGTCTTTTAAACCTACCTATTTGCTTGAACTGCACAACTGGCATCTTCTCTTTGCTGCAGGTTCATTAAGACTTGGGCTCAGTTTCTGAGCTGCTGAACTGACGTTCGGTGTTTATGTTAGTTGAACTGCAGCTGAAATGCATTTTGGTGATACGACTGGTGTGGAATTATGCAGAACTGAGGTGTAACCACTGTCCCATAGATTATTGTTGGGGTAGGAGAGTCAGAGCACACATTAGGTTGCAGTGCATGCTGGGGCCGTAGCGCAGCGCATTGTCAAATGGAATAATATTAATAAAAAATAATACTTTTGCGGGCCGAATAGGATTGTGTTGCGGGTCTGATCTGGCCCACGGGCCTTGTGTTTGACAAAATGACATCTAGAAGATGTATGTTCATATTTTCAGGTAAAGTGGAGCGATGGTTTTACGTTAAGTTTACGTTACGTCTTCTTCTGTGAGTTTACTGGCTGGTTGCAAAGTAGAAATCTGTTTACTGTCTGACTCATGTAGACCTGGAGTTTCTCCATTATCTGATTACTCAAGAGCATATAAACATGTTGATCGGATTACTGACAAAATCTGATTTTCTGCAGTTATCAGATTATTAAATTCATGTAAGCGCTCTCGCTGTTATGTGAAGTAAAAGCTGAAAGATTTATCCTTCACTGCATGACTCAGCAAGATCTTGCTGCTTCTCATGAATGGGCTTCAGGGGAAAATCTGTTCTTGGCAGCATCGTACGCCACGAGTGGGAGCTTGAGCACCAAAGATTTCCCTTCTAGAGAAATGGAAAAACATGTGGTTCTATCCTCCCTAGCTTTCCCGACCACACCTTATGCCCTTAAACCACATGACAGAGGTGCTGGACCGCATACTAAAGGCTCTGGCAGAAAAGAAGTACAGCCTGAGAGACAAATCAGTCCATCTTTCTCTCAACTTCTTTACCCCTGCACAGGCTCTCATGCTGGCCGCAGCTAACCTCATATGGTAAAACATCTGCCGCAGATTACAGGGAAGGAGTGTCTGTGTGTGTGCAGACTTCATCCTGTTAAGAATCTGCAATCCTTTAACTCTTTAACAGAGTTACATGCATGATTTCTGTTTAAATTTCAATTATACAACAGATAGTTCCGGCCACGCACGCTGATTGGTTGAGAAGTGTTCTAGCCGTGCTGTTATTTCGCTATAACAACACAGGTTTTACACAAAAAATACAAGCAACGACTTTGACAGCTGTAGGAGATGCTCAAGCCATTTGAACGTTTTTATATCTTACTTTGCGCAAAAACTGAAAATTAATACTTTTAAGATCACATTTGACCGACAGCCGATTTGGTCAGACTCTGAAGATGAGACGACACTAAATTCCCAAACTGTCATCACCACTGAGCAGCTTTTCAGTCGGCAGCTGAGACAGAAGAACAGATAAACAATCAGCCAGAAATGAACCCAACACCATTCGCCAAACTAAATGGGCTGTAAGATGCTTTACAGACTGGCTGGAACAAAACAACATTAATACTGATCTGGCAAAAACTGACAAAACTGAGCTAAACCTGATATTGCGGCAGTTTTATGGCTCAGTCC